GCTTGGGCCCAGGAGTTTGAGGTTGCTGTGAGCTAGCCTGAAGCCACGGCGCTCTAGCCCGGGCAACGCAGGGAGACTCTGTCTCAAAAAAAAAAAGAACAGCTGTTAAGTAGTAACTAGTAATGCCCTCCTAATTTCCTAAGTATAAAATTCATTTGGCTAAGAAACCAGACAACAAAAGTTATCAGAACTAGGTCTAAATTAAGAGCAAACTGCTCAGAAGTCTGAATAGCAAAGTCCGTGCACTTTAGCACAGTCTTGGTGGTTTTTATACTGGCTATCCAGAGGTCATTCTAAAGCACAAATCTGATAAGGAAACAATACTTAAACTCCTTAAACAGACTTGCATTGCTTAATAAAGTGTTTTGCAACCCTAGCTACATACATTAATAATTATCCTAAACCCAGTTACAATGATTTATAAAAAGATGCTCAAATTCAAACATATAATCAGAGAACTATTTTCTCACAAGATAAAGTCCTGACACTTTCTCATGGCATACAAGGCCTGCCACCATCTGGTCCCTACCTACCTTTCTACCTCATCTCCCCTCCCTCATCATTACTCCTCAAATCTATCAACACATTCTTTTACAAATAACAACAGCTAACATTTACTGAGAACTTACTTCATGCTAGGTACTAAAGACTTCTCACCACTCTATCCCTGTGACCCAAGCCACCATCATCTCTCACCTGGACTACTTCAACAGAATCCTAGTTGGTCTCTCCATGTCAATCTTCCCTCCCTACACCTGGTTGGTTTTTGCACACCAACCAGTGTGGTCCTTTCGAAACAGAAGTTAGGTCATGTCACTCCCCCATGCAAAATCTTCCAATGGCTTCCCATGCACACATGGAAAAAACCATCATGCTTAAGTTCCTACATGACCCAGCCCAGTCCCAGCCACCTCTCCAGTCTCATCTCCTCCCACTCTCCTCCTCACTTACTGTGCTCTAGCTCCACCTAACTTCAGCTATAAGCAGGCCAAGCCCATATGGGATCTTTGCCTGTGGTATTCTCTCTGCGCAGAATTTTCTCCTTCAGATAATCACATGGCCTCTGCTCAAATATTATCTCTACCATACTTTTTCTTCGTAGTACTGATCCCTATCTAACATTATATATTCATTTGTTGTCTGGTCCTCTAATTAGACAGTAAGCTCCACTGGTGCAAAGAGTTTATCTTGTTCTCTGTTTTGTCCTCAGGACCAAGAATAATGGCTAATATATAATAGGTTCTCAATAAATATTCATTTAAGAAATAAAATAAATATTCATTTCATTATTGAATCTTCACACTACTCTGTGAGATGGGTATTATTGTTCCTATTTTACAGATAGAAAAGTAGGGAGGGACCAGAACATGGTTCCTTTTCTTCCTTCCCTTCAAGTTTAAGAACCATTATCATTTAAATGGGCCCCAAAATATGGGAATAGGGGTGTAATTTAGTGGGTAGGAGAGAAGGAAGAGAAGGGGAAGGGGGACAAAAGTCAAAATAAGTACATTACTGTGAACTTCTTCATCCAGTGCCTTAACTTTTCCTTTCTTCTTAATGAGATGGATTTTGCAGGCATTGGCTTCCCAATCTTTGTCATTGCCTCCATCAAATCCCACACCTAAATCATCAAGAGGTTAAAACAATCAAGATTTAGAAACTGGCTATTGCTAATATTATCAATATGAAGCAAAATTTTTAATTTTAAAAAATTATATGTTCATCTAATTATCAGTTCAACCTATTGTATGTCAAGAACCATGTCAGCTGCTAGAGACAATAATAGAAATAACTCCATTCTTGTCATCAAATTTAATAATTACAATGCAGTGTTATCAAAAGTTATCAAAAAAGTACTGCAGATTGCAACTGGAATACAGTGGAGAAAGGCAGAAGATGGGCACCCATCTCAGAAGGGGGGATAAGGAAGGAAGGTCAGGGAACACATCTCTTAAGATTGTACTTAAGTTGCTGAAGAATTTGAAAAGGTTACCCTGAAGGTACTGGGAAAGCACTGATTCGTTTCAAGCAGAGAAGTGACATGACAAAAATGTTTGGCAAACCCTCTCTGGAAACAGTGTAGAGAATGAATTGGAGAAAGAGAAACAGGAGGAAGAAACCAGCTGTCAGAAGTTACAGCTACTGCAAAGCAAAAATGAAGAGGGCCTGAACTAAACAGTGGTAATGAAGACAGAAATAAGTGATCCTGAGAAGTAGAACTGACTGGACATGAAGTGAGAAAGCGGGAGAAGCCTGGGATACCTCAAAGGACTTACTGGATGACTTGAAAAAAAAGAGACATAGAAAGAACAGAGTAGGGAGTGGGGTTCAATTCTGAATATGCAAAGTTCAAAATATTGTGGCCTAACCAGGAAGAAATTTCCAGGCAGCAACTGGAAATACAAATCTGTAGCCTAGGAAATACATCTGGATTAAAAACACATCTGGATGGTAAGTCACCAATATATAAGTTATTGATGAAGTCAGGGCTGACCCATGAAGGACACAAAGTAAGAAAAGTGGGCTTAGGAAAGAATCTTGAAGAACATTAAAATTTAAGCAATAGGTAGAAGAAAAGGAGCCACCAAAGCAAACAGAAAAGAAAATCAGCATCTTAGGAAGAGAAAAAGAATAAATGTTGTCAGATAAGCTAAGGAGAGAATTTTAAGAACAAAGGAGTTGAGGAACTGCCTTTCCATTGCTAAGGAAAGTCAAGGAAGATAAATGCCCATTCCGTGTGGCAATGTTAAGTATACAGAAAAGAGTACACAGCAGGTCTGACACTGCTATCCTTACAGAAAGGCCTGCATTCAAAGTTGGCTCTTGACTGGTGTCTGGGAACTTGGGTTTGGGCAGGATTCCTACCATCCTAAGAGTGGCTCACAGTGCAAAAAATGTGGCTTATAGTGAACATCTGCTTTTCTTCTGGGAGTCTAGAATTTTGGTACCTGCTAAGCAGAGGGTGTCTACATGACCAGCCGATAAAAATCTTGGGCACTGAGTCACTAGTAAGTATTCCCAGGAGACATTTCACATGTGTTATCACAACGCACTGGAAGAATTAAGCACATCCTGTGCAATGCCACTGGAAAAGAATCTTTGCAAGCTAGGGCCTACTTTTCCTCAGGACCTCACTCCATGCACCTTTTCCCTTTGTTGATTTTGCTTTGCATTCTTTTATGATAATAAATCACAGCCATGAGTACAACCATAAGCTGAGTCCCATGAGTCCTCCTAGGGAATCTCTGAATCTGAGGGTGGTCTTGGGAACCCTCAACAGTTGAAGGAAGGAGCTAGAGTAGAACATAAAGTTGCCAGAAAGTTATTTTTATTTGTTTTGTCATTTATTTTAAGATAGAAGAATGCCCCACTTCATATTCTTAATAAAAGAAAATCTCCACAAGGAACATTACTCCACTTACATGGTAATACCGTTAAAATTACATAAACAAATCCTTTAAAACATGATAAGACAAAAATTATTCAGATTTAGATTTACCCAAAACAACAAAACACACATTACTAAAAAGTCTAGTCTCCTAAAAATAATAATAAAACACTCTATTTAGATTCGAGAACCATGCAAAACCCATATTTTTTAAAAGGAAATACCAGCAGAATCATATCCTCTGTACTCCAGTCTCTGAAGGCCTTTGATTAGGGTCTCCAAGATTTCTCGTCTCGTTCGAGGAACATGGTAGTTTAAGTAAGCAAATATACCTGCAAATAAATAAATATTTAGTGGAAAATTCTGATCAAAGAATAAAAAATTTTTAATAATTATGTATAGTGTGTGCAAAAATGTGAAGCTAGATTCCATCTTTAAAAAACAAAGAAATCGGCCTGGAGCAGTGGCTCATGCCTGTAATCCTAGCACTCTGGGAGGCCGAGGCGGGCAGATTGTTTGAGCTCAGGAGTTCGAAACCAGCCTGAGCAAGAGCGAGAC